GTTATTTGGGAGAAGAGACCGACACCCACCTCGCTACAACCTCCTTTCAGGTAGTTGTAGAGAGTGATGAGGTCTCCCCTCAGCCTCCTTTTCTGCAGGCTAAACAGTCCCAGTTCCCTCAGCCGCTCCTCATAAGACTTGTTCTCCAGACCCCTCACCAGCCTCGTTGCCCTTCTCTGGACACGCTCCAGCACGTCAACGTCCTTCTTGTAGTGAGGGGCCCAAAACTGAACACAGTATTTGAGGTGCGGCCTCACCAGTGCCGAGTACAGGGGCACGATCACTTCCCTACTCCTGCTGGCCACACTATTTCTGATACAGGCCAGGATGCCATTGGCCTTCTTGGCCGCCTGGGCACACTGCCGGCTCATGTTCAGCTGGCTGGTGACCAGCACCCCCAGGTCCTTTTCCGACAGGCAGATACCTCCCACTGTCAAACATTGCTTTAATTTTATCCAACTTCTACATCTTCATATAGTTCTACTGAACAAGTACAATCCACAAACTCAGACAGTGACCATTAGTTTAGAGAAGAGCCATCTCAAATGAGGCTGTGAGAAAATACAGGCCATTGACCAGGGCATGGTTTCAGTGGGGTTCACGTTGTGGTTCATCTTTACCTCAGATGAGACAGGTTGCTGTGTTTGGTTTTGCTTTTGATGGTGCTGGTGTCTAAGGCCAGATTAGTTCACATCTAAAGCGTCCATCTCTGCTTTGACCAGCAATTATTGTTTCTTGAAAATTTCTGTTTGCTTTGAGTTTGATTTCCTTTCCTGAAATATCTGTGGTCCTTTCTTTTCGGTCAATATCTGACAATATTTTAAATTTCTGTTTGAATAATGGTCACTACACTTCTGCAGCAGGGGATTATAACCAAGTTCATTTTTCTTGAAATTATTCATGGCTTGCTCCCCTACTTGTGTGATTTTGTAGGCCCACAGCTACACCTGATATTTCTTAGCCAGCCTGCCAACTGTTTGACAAGACCCCTCTGACCAGATGGCTCTGGATTTACGCAGGAGTTCTCAAAAATTTAATCTAATCTACCATTTCTTGATCTTTCAGGTAACGAGGGTACAATTCAGATAGATGCATGATTCATGATAATAAGGGACTGTGAAAGATGGAGTCAAAATGCATTTGTCAGCACGATAAATGTTATCGATCCATTTAAATGATGTCTTCTGAGGAAGCAAAGCATTAAAAATCATCCAAAATTTTACCAGTATTGTGTAAGGGAGTGCAGTAGTAGCCAATGAACAAAGTAAACATTGACATCAGGGCATCTAATTTTCATTTCAGAAGTCACCTGAGTAAAATTATTTCTGTGAAAGGTTATCACAGATAAAAAAGTCGCAAAAATAAATTTGACTGAGTGAAGATTTGCTGTCTTAAGTGATATAGTTTGTTACTGTCTCAGTTCTGGAAGTACTTATGCCAGAAAACAGCTTTCATCATGTGCATGAATAAAGCTTAGAAGAATAGAGTACTAATTCATGACTGGTATTAACAAGGTGGGAATGTAAGACATAATAGTATGAAATTTGCTCCTCCTCACACAAAAAAAATCAGAAAAATATCATTGCCATACTGCTAGAAGGACCTCTGTGCTTCAAATACAACTGAACATCCCTAATTGGTATTTCATAAATCTTTCTCTCATTATAACTTACTGATATCCTTTCTTATCTGCTCCTTTCTGCAAAGGTGGAAACAGCTGAGGGCACACATCCCTCTCTCCTATCATGGACAGAAATTACAAGAACTCAAAGCAAGCGGGGACGCAAGAGCAAATTCAAAATGGGAACATGAATTAAACCCAGCTTCTACAGCTCCTCTATCCCACAAGCTGGATTTCTGTGTTTTAGCATGCAAAAAGAGAACCATAAAAATGCCTCACTTCTTTCTCCAGCTCTTTGACTTTGTTATTCAGTTGCTTCACTTTGGCTTTTTCACTCTCAGTCTCGGCAGTTATCTCACGATTCTTCTTGGCCAATTCAACTATTTTAGTTGCTGCAACATCTCCAGCTAAACCAGACGCCCCTGAAAAGTATACATAAAAGCAAAGGACATATCTTACAGGCAAGATTCAGAATAGATGATGCTTTTGTTCTCTGTTCAGTGCACAGTGTACTTTTATTGTCTAATCCATTTCTCTCAGAGCTGTGCCAGGCACTTAAATGAACAAGTGAGGGAAAAGAGGCGTCAGTGATTCCAGCTGGGTTGCTTGGTCCTTTGAGTCAGCATCACATTGCGGCTAGCAAAGCCACGTTTCACACTTCAGCAACAGCCACATGTCAGAAGGCCACAACAGTGGTCGTAGCAACATTACTATGTAGAAAGGGTAGAGGTGTTTCTGCTCACCGCTGTGAAGGACTGTTATGAACAGGTTTTTGCGGCGTATTACAGAAAAAGACGACACTACTTTGCAGTGGTTGTTTACTACCGGAGGAGTTGCTGAAACAGAGGTGCGAACTTTTCTAGACATCTGTCCTAAAAGGTCAGGCACACTATTACAGCTGGGTCCTGGATACCGTCCAGGAAATTTCATTGTGCCTATTTATATGTCCCTTGTGATTCTACATGGATTCTTACTGTATTACTCTTTTAATTGCTCTTTTAAACAGATACCTCATTCACCTTCTCATCAGAGAGGGCCTGAGTAGTGTCACGAATAAAGTAATCCCCAGAACTGTCTTGTGTGCCACTTGGCTTTCGTTAACATCATTTTTGAGTAGCGTCACGAATAAAGTAATCCCCAGAACTGTGCCACTTGGCTTTCGTTAACATCATTTATGTGAAGAAAAGTTCTCGCACAAGTGCAAAATCAATATGCTTGCATACAATGTCCACGGAAACCTCTAGCTCCGCAATGAATACAAGCCTGTGATAACAAATCCTTGGTGGGGTATATGAAGATTGAACTTGGCTGTTGTCATTCTTTTTAACTCTTTCATCCTCCTCCAGTGCTCTGAAGTAATGACTTTTCTACTGACATCTGTGAAGATTATATTCAAGAACCGGGGTGAGATGCAAGGATGAGAGATCACTCAAGTGAATTCTGAGTCCCATAAAACCCCTAGAGACATTAAAGGGGCTATGCGGAATATAGGCGAGAACAGAATATGACCCCATGTAACTATTTAAAATGTAGAGAAAATAATAATTATTTTTAAAAGTGTTTCCACTGTTCTTACTCCCTTATCTGACTTGTGTTTCCCCTCTCATCTAGAAGCTATTATTTCCTTACTTTTCATAATAAATAACGGGTGCTAAAGATCACAGTAAGTACTAAACTAACCAAAAGCCAGGCTGGTGCTTCCATGTAATGGTCTTCAAATGCATTGCACACATTTAATCAAAGCTTTTAATTTCCATGCAATGTGGGTGAGTTTCTTGCCACAACGTAGATAGGGAAGACAGAGGAATGGGGCAAACTGCCACAAGCTGGCGTGTGAGTCAGCCGAAGGAGCAGCAACAGCTCATCTGTCTCCTAGTCCTGACCCAATAATAGCTTATCGTTTCTCCTACATACAAGCTACAGACCGTTTTTAAGAATGAAGGTGTAATTTAAGTGTTATTTAGTTCTGCTTACTGCTGGTTTCCCCCTTCTCTGCTACCCTGGTCATCACTGCTGCCCTGAGCAACAGTGGCACCCAGTGGAGGAGGTGCAGCCTGCACAGTTCAGTTTTCAAAGGACACCCAAGCCACTTTAGAAGCTGGACTTTGCATTCAGCCAGCATCCTGCATGTGCCCTATTCAGGCATTCAGACAGAAGGAGCCTGAATAAGGGATTTAACACTACATAGCAGAGAAAGCTGCAACACTGCTCTTTGACACCAACAGTTTTCTAAACTATGATTTCTGAGAGTCATCATTTTTTGTGCCAATAATAGCAAGTCTGCAGAAGATCTGTGAGGAACAGCGATCGCTGTGTACCCCCAAAGAGCACTATACTTATATTAAGGGACATATAATTATCCATAACAATATTTTGCACCTTAGGTGTGACCTGACTACCTCAGATGTCATTTGGCCCTTTCAATAGCTCTCTAAAATGGGGAGTAGCAGTATTTATATTTTGCAGCTCATGAAACTGAAGGAGAGAGTAAGGCACAGATCTTTAAGCATACATGCCATTCCACATGTAAGTGTTATCATGTCAAACCACTGCGAGGAAGTTCCCTCTGCAAATAAGGCAACGAGACTCCTTACATGGGAGAGACATCGATGTTTAGTAAACTCTGCAAATGCCAAACAGTGTCAGCTTAGACCCTTGCAAGTTTAGGCAGCAACTCTAAGCGTTGGCTAAATCTACACCCAAGTGTCCAAGCATTTTCAAAGTTCAGAGCCAAGTGTTTTCAGTGCTACTGCAAATTACTGCAAGCTCAACAGAAAACGAGTCTCTCTCAGTTGAGAGCTGAATTTTGGTTCTTCCTAGCAGAAGCTTATTACAGGAGTGGAAACGGAGGCAACCACAATATGACTGAAATACTCCTTTTTAGCATAAAGCAGGTAAAGAGATGTCACATGAATATTTCACTGCCAGGAGCCCACAATGAATCTGTTATCCTACCTCTATTGTCATCAGCATCAAGCAAACACTGGAACCAACATAGCGAGAATACAAAGTTACTGTGTTTACCCGACAAAGCCAATCTGTCCTCCTGTATTTTTTTCTGGAGTTGCTTTATTTCAAAATCTTTCTCTGTCACAAGTTTGTATAGTCTGCAGTTCTCATCTCGGACCTCTCGAAGCTGGTCCTGGAGCTGCTCGTTCTCAGCCTCAAGCAACCTGTGAAAAAATAAGCTATAATGGCAAATGTCACTGTAATGTGCTTCAAATAGATGCTTCCAGAAATAAAATAATGAAACGACTGTATGCTGGATGAGCTGAGCTTACCAGGACTGAGTTTACTGAATTAAGCAGAACACCCTGAACCACAGATCAGAACACAGGCTAATGATCCGATCTATTCAGTTAATTATTTCTTCTTCAAAAATTCTGCACCTCCTTGTGTTGTCTGGGGCAAAACATCACAGAACAGGTATCTTTTCAGGGCTCCTGAGGTTACTAAATCGTTGCATCTCACTGAGTCTTACTTATCCGGTTCTTCAGAGGAAACCAGGCAGGCTCACCATTCAGCATCCGTGACATTCAGGCTTTATTTTCTGTACTTACTGAAGCTAATAGAAGCCAACAGAGCATCAGCTACAAAAGCTGCTACTGAGGTTCTTTCTTTAAAAATGAATGCTTCATAGCAATTCACAAAAGACCAATTTCCTATGTCCTCATCTGATTTTCTTGAAAACCCACCAGGATGGACTGGCATCAGTTTGTATTGTTAATGTTGCTTTTTGGAATTCATTTAGAAACAAAGAATATCAAAAAGCCCTCTGAACGGGAGGAAATAGCCTTGCTTCTCCTATTCTTCAGTACATTTAGTAACATTTATGGGTTTCATCTCTCTAAGACATCCAGAGAATTAGTAACTTTAATCTCTTTGCTGTCCTTACACAATGGTTCCTCCGAGTGTAAAATCTAGAAGCTAAGGCCTTGGGGGCTCAATTCAACTGTGGGCACTCAGGCATCTCTTCAAGATGCCCCAGGATTATCTGAGCTCCCCACGCGAGGCCAGCAGCCATGAAGCAGGGTTCTTGGGAAAACTTCTAGGGCCCAGAAAACCGACAGCATCTCAGAGAGCACTTGCCACCCATGTGTGTACATATGAGCCAGCCCTGAGAATTACTAACATCCTCCAACTTTAGACACACCTTTTAGCCAGACTCCTCCAGACAGCAGCATTTCAGAGTAGAAATGAATCTGTCTCCATTCCCCAGAGAGGAAACCAAATGTGCTAAGAGAAGCTGTACTGACACTGCCTTTGGTAAATACGTTTGTGGTAGAGACCCTGCTGGCTCAAGTCAGTGGTTCCCATTCTGCCTGCCTCTCTCTTCCCAGCTGAGTTTCCTCACCTCCTCCCATCTGAGTTTCAGGGTGGGGTCCCACTCAGTACCCAAGACACGGGTGTGTCTCTACGAGCAGCAAGCCAAAACGCACACAAAAGTCAAAGGGGGTCTAAGTCAATACGACCAGTGCTGCCTACAGACTAGCTGCCACTGTAGGGTGACCTGAATCGCTCTCTAACTGCCACCAAGGGCTCTGATGAGGGGACTCAATTCAGTTACCGACACACAGGTGCCATTTGGGCTGCCCACCCATCCCCTAGCTGCTGCTGCTGAAGGGTGCAGGTCTCCTGTGTCCTGTCTATCATTCCCATGTGGAAGTTCCCGATACCCTCCAGCACCTCAGATGTCATTAAACACCTAAGCCAGGCAGATGAATTGACCCCTAGGTTCTCATTATCTACAGCGTGACCCTGAATGTCTACATTTTGGTGACTTAATCTGGAATAGTGTCCCACCCCTTTGGCCTATAGACTGATTGCTCCAGACTACAACAGAAGTAGGTAGCTTGGATGATCAGAGATTTGGACAAAGCCCAGTTGTTACAGTATATACCTGTGGCTATAGACATATCCACAGTCAGACAAGTCAGCTATCTCAATAGTCACCTAAATCTTTTCTATTCAAAAGTTTTAGCAAGCTTTTTGCTCCACCTGGACTTTGGAGCTTTTAAATGCACACTCCATATGTACATGTCAGAGTAAATGACCCCTTAAAGCACTGCCATAAACAGCACAGTCAATTTATGAGATAATTCACAATCCATAATTAAGAAATGCACTTCTGTTTCAAAGCTGCAAATCAAAGGGAGATCAAAGGCAGCTGTTTACAAAGGAGAAGAAAGCAAGCAGCGATCTGAGCAGAGAAAAGGCAAAACTTAGTTATTCCCACGTGTACCACTCATAGAAGTGAGCAAGAAAACCGTGCAGATCTAATTAGCGACACATGGACAAAAAGATTTTTAACAGTTAGGGAATTAACATGAAAAAAAGGTTCTAAGCTCTTAGCACACCTGATCAGTGATGTCTTCCACAGAGCTGGCTTCCAAGTCTTGACAAAAAGCACTTACAGTAGGATGGACAGAAATCCCAACTGCACAGAGCTGGAGTCTCCTCTGATAAACCTCTCCATCCCATTCCATCGTGACTTTACATGTTACAAAGGAGGGAGCAGGTTCCACCCAAGTGGCTCAGCTACAGAAAGTCAGCCAAAAGAAACAGGCTGCAGAAAGGTAACCCTTTTCGCTCTAGTTCAAGGAAACAGAGCCAGGTGAAGCTTATGAGCAGGGCCTGTGACTGAAATTGAGATAAGTGTCTTTCCCAACTCTGTTACAGACTCTCCACATGATGGGGAGAATCACTTAATCTTAAATACACCAAACAGAGCAGGGAGGATAAAGTTACAGAAAGAACAAAACAGACAGACAGAAATGTCAGCTAAACAAAATTTGGGAGTAGGACGGGGGGAAGGAAAAACGAACTCCCAAGGCTCAGAGGAAGGGAGACTTCTGAGAAGAGAATGTTTTCCAAGGGCTGCTATAAACAACACTGACGTGCTGAAATCACTGCCACTGCAGACCATATGGAGTCCTGTTATTCTGGAACAAGTTTCTAACGTGTTGTCATGGGAATACTGCAAAGTACATCCTGGTGAATCCCTTCCAGAAGCAAATCCTGCCCAGATTTGTTACACTCCTAACCACTCTTTTGCTGAACGCAGATGTACATAAGCAAAGGACAATCCAGATAAATCTGCTACACCTGCCATGTCAAATGGGGACTTTTACCAGTCAGTGCCACTGAAAACGGAGGTAAGTAATAGCTCTTGAATTACTCAGACCTAAACTACTGAACCGTAAATGGCAGAGAACTGCTGGGACTCTCCTGTACTCTGCACCTCAGAGCATGCACACTGCACCAGGATGTGCTAGGGGAGCGCCTAGGCCCCTCTCCTCCACCAGACAAATCCACATCTGAACCGTGGGAATCAGTCTCCCTCTCCATTAAAGAAAAAAAAAAAAAAAGAATCAGAGACCCCCATCAAACTTCTATATACTGTCAGAACAAAATGCTGAAGGGAAGAGGACAGCTGGTAGAGGTCAGAAGCATAACTCGGCAAATCAGACAGCCGTGGTGAGGGACCTATGTGTGAAGAAGACAATGTATGATGCGACAGTGAGAACGTTAGTTTCTAGAAGGTCAGCTCCCTGTTTCCACACAGACTTCCTTTGCAGCATGAAGACATTCCCAGAAGCACCTGAAAGTTTCAGTGGTTCACTCCTGGGTTCCCCGCATCTTCACAGCAGCTCTGCTGCAGCTTATGCACTTGGGCGTTTAAGGAAGCAATCTTCAGAAACAAGCTGAGCAGGGAGTTGCCCAGAGTAATGCAGAGGGGACATCAGCATTTAGGGCCTAATAAACCTTGATTAGTGGCTTGATAAACTTTGGTAGAGGTGCCCTTCCCCACTCCGGATTCTGGGAAGGGAAACTGTCTCATCTGTGGGTTTCCACCCATGATCTGCTGGCTTTGGCAGAGCTGCCAGCTCCTCCTTCCTGCCCCCATATCACAGTACATCACCCCATCATGGTGCCAATAAAACAGTCTGTGGGGCTAAAGCTGTAAACTGGATCACTGAAGTGACTTGAGAATAAAAGCACCCTTCCCCCAGAAAGTGAATCCAGTTTCCAGCAAACAGCTGTATCAGCACAGTTGCAAGTGGGGAGCAGAAGCAGGAATTTCTTCAGCTGGCTTCACCACTAACATGGAGCAAATCCCTGAATGGCCAACACTGTAGTAACTGCAGACATCACTGGGATGTGTCCAACTTTAGACCTGGTCTAGTCTGTAAAAAAAATATTAATTGGGTCAGAAAGAGAGACTGACTATATCCTAGGAGGAAGATGAATGATCTCAGCTGGGGTTTCAAATCTCTGCTCCAGTAAATTGAATTATGCACTCAGCTCCAAAAACAAGATCGAGGGAGATCCACACCAGCATGTCCAATGTCCTGGTAACCCAGATACTACCCCAATGGGTGAAGTAAGACCCAAACCCCTGTCCCCAGTAAGATTTAAAACCCTACCTTGTATAACCCTGTCAAGTATCTTAACCAGGAGGCAGCTCCGTCTATGAGACCCTCCTACGTAGCTGGCTGCCTTTTGATCTACTAAACCAGGTTATATTGCAAAGATAGCCAGGGGAACACTTTTCTGCGCTGCAGGCCTTTGGCTTGCACCCATTAGTTGCTTTACCCTTATCTGCCTTTGGAAATTATTCATGTAGGGAACGCGTATGTTTACAAGGCTAGGCAGGAACTAACCAACAGTTCAGAGGATGTTAGTCATCCTGAATGACTGGATTTCGTCAGATAGTACCTAGCTGCCCCCAGCACGTCACCCTTAACCCCTCTGTTCTTCCACTCCTCATTTGTGAAACATTGATAATAAAAAGCACATCACAATGCTCCGAGGATAAACATGTTAGGGACAGCGAGAGTCTTCTCGGGATAACGGAAGCCCAATATGTGAAGACAGAAAGTGCTCTGACAACTTAATATGAGTTTCGTAAGATCATATGCAAAATACACTTCTGTGACTTCCTGAAGGTGCTGCTACACCTTTACCTTTTGCCGTCATCTTCATTTACAGGTTGTTCTGTTTCAAACAGGTTTAGATCATTTGGGATTCTGAAAGCCTCCTTTGCGTTGCCATTATCACCTTTCTGACTGTTCTGCTTTTCCTTCTTCCTCTCCATTAGATTTTGCAGCCGCCTTTGCTGTTGTTCTTGATAAGCCTTAAACTGGCTTTTAAAATGTTCATTCCCTTCTATGTCTGACTCCATTGTTTACTAAAAGCATAACAAGAAGAAAATAAAAAGGGACAGAGAGCAGAGATCAACATCGCTTTGAAAAACATCCTCTTCTAGCAGCTGCTTCGCAGTTTTTTCTCACTGACCTCTGCACAGTCTCCAAGCCACCTCCTCCCCTCAGCCACTGTGCTCTTCAGCCCCTCGCTGAAGGCCTTGCTTCAAGGGCCTTTTTCCATAAACGGCTTTCAAACAGTCTTCAGAAAAGTTTGTGGGTCTTCTTCACCGTAGCATTCAAAAAGCAATGTTTTAAAATGTTTTTTAAATGGATCTGTTTAAATAAATATTTTTACAGAAGAGCAAGTTGGGGTCAAATCCAAGCGAATGTGGCAACCACATTATACTGACTAAAGGGAACACAGACTGTTTGCGACCCAGGTCCATCCAGCCTTCCCTCCCGTGTCTCAAAGAAAGGTGCAGATCCCCCCATTTTTGGGTTAATGTGGGACTGACAGAGGAAGAAAGATCTCTGTTTATCCTAATGCTCCCTTTGGGCACTAGACACCAAGAGTGTGGCTTACGTCTTTCCCCCAAATTTCTAAGCATTAGGTGACAACATTAAAGTGATAATATTGCTACCCATTTAAAAGTCTAGAGCTTTACTTAGTATGACTAAAGATGATCAGTTTTCCGTGTATTCCAGCCCCCTCTCCTTCTGTTTGACATTTGCTGTCAGCAAAAAAATCCAGCGGACCTTTGGTCTAGCAAAAGCAACCAGTAAAAACTTTCAAAGGCGCACCCTCCACTGAGTAATTAACGCAGGCCCTTTCTCACACTAAGGCAGCAATCATCCTGATAAAGTGCCAAAACACAGGCCATGTCCCTGTATGTACCGTATGGGCAGAGACGCATTGTGAGCAGCTTTACCTCCGCGCCTGCCTCCGGCTGCGGACAAGGTGTATTAAGGATTGACAAGTGCAAAGAGCGGGGTCAGGTGCCTCCGCGCAGCCCCAGGCCGCGCGGGTATGAGTGATGGCCTGGGGGCAACCTTTAGCCCTCCAGCCTACCTGGGTACCGACCCCACACCTGGCGCAGAGGGATCTGCCGCAGAGCTGCTGCGTGGGGAGAGGGGGTTCCCTCTCTTCCCCGCCCAACGCCCGCCTTGTCGCGCGGCCTGACAGGGCCTGACAGAGCCGCGCT